ATCCATGCATGCATACATTCTTCACACACAAACATGCACCCCCACTGTCCTGCATTGATTCCGCCTCCCTCCCTCACCCTGCCTCCCCCTCCCAGCCCCTCCTCTAACTAGTTGCAAAGACGTTGTCATGGCCGATCAGTGGGCCAGGCCCAGAGTTGTGCCCGTGGCTTTTTCCTTGTGGGGAGACTGGAGCTCGCTAGCGTAGCTTCCCCGCGCTGTGTGCATGCAGCCCAGGGTTACAGCCTGCTGATGCTCTTAATAAGGCAGGCAGCCTGCGTATGGAGGGTTACCGACTGCTTCATTGGCTGAGTGGCTTACTAGCTGACTGGCTGGCTTTCTGACTGATTGACTGACTTACCACTTGCTCCCCAGCTGACTGACTGGGCAGAGACAGTTTACCAGCTGATTGAATGACAGAGTCGACAACTGACCAACTTCTTGGCCGACTGTGACGTCGCTGTTACTCTGATGAAGTTAAATTTGCTCTCTCACACGTCAGAAGTTTTGTGTATCGATGCATCTTGACGCCACCAAAGAGTACAGAAGTGTTCACTTTTGGTCTGTTGCCTTAGATTGTGCATGCATGCATCAAAGAACACACCCTGATTGTTGTTGGCGCCGTCTGCACCTCGGCATGCGTCAGGATGCAGCAGCGTCGGATGTTTCCCAGCATCTTCACGGGGCAACTCAGGAAAAACAAGTATTTTATTGTCGTCACTCCCCATATTTCTCCACATTACCTTCCTTTTGTCTGTCTGCGCGCCGCATTCGGCTTGAGCTGCGAGCAACAATTGACAAGCTTAAAGTGATGCAATGCTGTGTGCGCTGCCGATGAGTGTTGCATGCAAAGCCAAGTTTGGAGAGCAGAGGGCAAAACCAATTCCACATTCTCTCGCTGCCTCTCTACCGGAGATATCACACCACGCTCTAATTGCACAGAAACGTGGATGCGTAGTTTGTGAGGTTTTATCCGCTGTGGGGGGAGACTTCTCTGAAAAGTTTTTGCTGTTAGAAGACATCAGCTTCAAAAGGCCAGAAAAACAAGACGAAATTATCTGCATTACAGCAACTGACTGTTCTGCGTCTGATTTTTTTCAACCGATTAACTCCAGCGTGCCGCGGCATCGCTTCCCCTCTCTACCCATTATTTTCTCCTCCTTCATTGCTCCCGTCAGTAACTTTTTGATTCTCTCTTTCCACGTTGGCTGAACATCTCCTCCCTCTTCTCCTATGCTTCTTTACTATTACTCTCCCTCTCTCTGTGTCAGGCTGTGGTAACACTGTTGACATTTCCCCAACATGGCTGCCAGACACTGCTTCAGCACCTTTCCTGCTTCACCCTTCCTCGCTGCCAGTCTTTCCCTTTTCTCTCTCTCCTCCCACTCTTCCCTCGCTCGCTCGCTCGCCGGGGTTAAAGAAAAGCAGAAATTAGCCCCAGACCTTGTCGAGGTGATTGGTATCAAATTGCACTGAAAATGGAAATGCCAATAAAATTGACGGCCCTTCTCCAACCCTTCCTATTCCCCTTCTAGGTAAAGTCTATAGGTCAGACTTGAAAGTATAGCGCGGGGAGAGGAAAGGAAGGAATACGGGGAGGTGTTAGTGTTTCCCAGGCTGAGCTCAGGCCTTGGGTTATGGGTTACAGCAACGCTAGCAAGAGGCAGCACACCCAGAACCGTGCAGCTTCTTTTGAGCACTTTGATAACTTTTGCGCTTTCTGTCTACTCCCCGGTTTCCCTCTGCTCTCCGTGCTTCTCATGATATCTCACCTCCTTCCCATGCATGCATGCTCTGAGCTGGTACTCCGGCCGTTTGCTTCTGTTTTCCCAACTCGCATGGGACAAGCCCCTAGGTTTGTTATTGTAGGCTTTGCTGAACATGAGCCGGTCTTTACAACGGATTGAAAGCATTTGCTTCCAATGAAAATCTGGTCTTAGATTACAGGGCCTGGGCTCGGCTCACCCCTTCTTTTCCACCAGGCAGAGAGATGCAGAGAGGGAGAGAGAGGGAGACGGAGGGGTGGGTATGTTTTAGCCGTGAAACAGTAGGAAGAAAAAACTCACTTGCAAAGCTCAGGCTGCATTTGTCCCGGGCTAATGATGTAACTCAAGCTTGCAATGCGAGTGTATCTTAGGACAGAGGGAGGTCACGACGCCGGGCGGATGGTGCATATGTTTCTGTGAGCGCATCGCTGAGATGGCTGGCCAGCTGATCAATAACGGATCAATCATTTAACTGCCGTAATTGATTAATTGTTAGGTAAAAACTGGACTCGTTTGAACTCAGATGGGAGGATTTGCTGCTTTTTTTTTTTCCCTTTTTGTTTTACAGCATTGTAAATTGAATATCTTTGGCTCTGATGGGCTTTTTTACTATTTCAGCCATTTTATACGATGAACCATTAACCCTCTGAACCTCTAGTGGTTTCTAAGGTTTTGTGTTTTTTGTGTTTTTACTCCACTGGCTGCACTGTGGGCACATTTTTTAATTAAGTCCTGCACCTCGATGGAAACAGTGCAACCATGACGAGATGGAGAGAGAACTCCAACAGTATTTTTTTATAATACAACAAAGCTATAATAAAAAATCATAAAAATTACTTTGATTATTTGCTCTGCAAAGGTTGAAAAAACCTGGTATCAACATGCACAACATTTTTCCATTTTTAAAAATACTAATAACTACATATTGTGGTTATTTCACTGCTTACATTTTCTTTATTTTTTTTCGATGCACAGCCTGCAGTTCAGCCGAGTTTAACCGAAAAATCCCAGAATTTTTGTCATGCGACTGTTGATTGCAGCTGAGTCAATAATGGCTTCATCATCGCAATGGGAAGCACAGAATTTTTTAGATTTTTATAGAATCTGCTTAGTTTATGTTTTGCACATTTTTAAATTAGACGTGTTTAGTAAAATTATTTTCATGAAATATCACGATGAATAGTTTAGAACCCTGCCGTTCTCTCTGTTTTTACACTTTCTGCCTGTAATAAATGATATAATTTGACAGATTTTGCAAAGACAGCATCCTTTCAGATCCACTGGTGGGTTTTGGGGCTCAGAGGGTTAATCTATTAATCTGAAAAATGATTAACAAATAAATCAATATTGGGAATAGGCTTTAACATCTGTACATCTATACTCCTGACGTACAGTAAACCGGCAGAGGTTACTGACTTGCTCAGAAATGCTTCAACCTGCCATGTGGTTATTTCCTGCATCCAGCTTTTTACCTTTTGGCGATGTTACCCAACACTACCGGCAGCGTTCTGTGCATCATCGGTGTGCAGTGGGTGGCGTTAGCATCAGCTATCGCGCCGTCTATAAAAAAAAAAAAAAAAGCTGCCTCTTGTTTTATCCCTCCCCCCACCCTCAACAGCGTCACCAGCACTTCCACGCGAGGTTCATTAAAAAGCCTTCAATATGTGTGCATATGTATCTCCTTCTGCCAGAACAGTCGGAGAGAGAGGCAGGCAGAGCTAGCCAAGAGTGTTGTTTCGTATGGATCGTTGAGAGCCTCTCTCTCCTAATGGTGTATATAATTCAGGTGCCCTCAAGGCATGCTTTCAGGAATTCTTTTGCCTGAGGTAATGGGGAGCAAAGGCCTGGGTTTTAGGCCCTTGATTATTCCATTGATGTGGCAGGCTGGAAAAAAGTCATCTCCAACCGGATTAGCGCCAACATCCCCATTAATTATCGATGAATCGGGGCTTAGGGTTTAGCTAGGTGCTGGGTGTCGCCCTCTGCAAGTTAGTGGAGCGCGGGCCTGTTTCAGTGCAGTTATCTGCTCCTGCCACAGTGAATAGACCTAGAAGCTTTAGAAGTGCTTTGTGTGTAATCAATAAATAACTGGATCCAATTCTGTGCACTGCTTCAGCGTCTTTTTTTTTTTCCTTCTTCGTCTTCGTCTTCTTCGTCGTCTTTACTTCTCCTCACTTCCAGCCGAGGGAGGCGATACGGGACAAAAGTCACTTATTTGCCGGCGATATTTCCAGCAGTGAGGGTGCCACTTGTTTACCTCGCCTCATGTTTCTTTTATGATTACCATCTTCATTGAGGGTGGCTCGCATTTTTGAATAATGATAATAACAATTAGGCTTTTCACAGCCACAGATGGGAAGAGCCTCTTTCTCTCCACTGGAGCTGTATAGAATACGTACAGTAATTGGGTGGTTTTGAATATGTGTGTGTCGGTGTGTGTTGGTGTGTGTGTGTGTTCATGTTGTGGAGTCTGAATGCAGAGAAAAGGCCCGTGGAGCGCCTTCCCTTTCACTTTTCCCTCTCTGTGCTCAAATACTCTGAGCTGTCTCAGTGTTCCCCTTAGGTGAGGTTAACTGGCCTTAATAGAGTCTTATCGAAGCCCTACAGGTTGCTGTAAGCAGCCATGACGCCATTGTTATGAAAAGCAGCTAGCTTTGTTAGCGCTGTTTGTGCCTCCGACTTCCTTTTTTCCACCTATTTTCCTTTTATTTTCCGCCTTCCCCCCTCCTCGCAACCTTGCCTTTTGTAGTGCCGTGTTACTCTTTCCACCTCAGGTAAAATGGCAGAATGCGCCGGGGCGACGCTTCAATAACTATTTTCCCCTCAGGATAATAAAGACTAAATCTCTCTGTCATTTTCAATTCTGCGCGGGCTTGGATGGGAGAGTGGGGAAATGCGACCTTACAAGTCCTTTGTGCTCCCCTTCTCCCTCTCTTTCTCGCAGAAAGATGCAAGCGCTCGCTGTGTTTTCAAGTGACGAGGGGGGAGAAAAATGAAAGGCAGGGTTATTTATAAATGTATTAAAAATGAATGCATTTATGAGGTGCTGTTTTCCAGCCATTCTCTGCTTGCCATTGTTGTGTCTCTATACCCCTCCGTCTGTGCATACAAAGCCCTCCAGAATTCCTTCGAAATCGTATTTATTCCCTTTGAACGCCGAGGCGCAGCGAATGCAGGAAGTAAACAAACTGTGCGTCTGATCTCCGCTGTCTCTTCCTGTTTCTTGTCATGTGACAGGTGATGGCCTGGACAACAGCGTGGCTTCGCCGAGCACAGGGGACGACGATGACCCGGATAAGGAAAAGAAGCGCAACAAGAAGAGAGGGATTTTCCCAAAGGTGGCCACCAACATCATGAGAGCGTGGCTCTTCCAGCACCTAACAGTGAGTTCAGCAAAACGTCGCTCTCAGTTTCACATCACGTGTGAACTTCGCTTCGCCGCCACGGGCCGTCTTACGCTCACACACAGACATTTTCTGTCTTTCTGGCGCTGCTGCTTTCTTACTTGACACAAATTCGGTTGCACACCACTCAGAGGAGCACACATACACCCTCAGACGCTGACATCCTCATTGACACTCACATACACACCACCAGAGCTCCCCCCTCCACCTCCTCCTCTCTCCTCCGCAGCGTATACTGGTTCATATGGTGAACACTTCAAAGACAGAGGCCTGTGTAATCTGCCGGCGATCTCGGCAAGCCGCGTTCTCGCTCCTCATCTGCTGAAACTGAAATAAGGTTGACGCCAAGGAGAGACGCCCCTGGCCATAGCTGCAGATACATAGATGAACCTTATTAAGAACAAATCTGTCATTATTTAACAGATGCCTGGGATGCTGCAAAGGCCTGTGGTTTGGCTTTATTTTTCTCAATTATAGCAGAGAATACAAATGCCGTTAGCACCATCTGACAGCTTCACAAATTGCTGTTGGGGGGGAATAGTGTGGGAAAAATGCATCTGGAAGATACCAATGTGGCTGCTAAGACGGATCCAGCAGCGAGTGGAACACTGGCTTAGTTCATTTATTTTGAACAGAACCGATTCGAGGGTCACACTGACGGCTCCCGGAGCAAAGAAGGAAGCGGTGCAATGTATACGTGAACTCTTCAGTCTTATTTGAATGCAGGATTTGCATGCCCTGTTTGCAGCAAAGTGTTGGTTCACTCAGGATAATGTTATACTTTTCACATCTGCAAGGGTCTGCTGAGGTTCAAGTGATGTAAATTCTGTTGTCAAAGGGTGCACGCGAGGCTCCGTGCAGATGTGCGTGTACTCTCTGGTTTTTTACGAGTGTCCACGTGGCCGCTGGTGCTGCAAGGGCATGAACCGTACATGTGCTGGAATACATGGACGCCATTCTACGCAGACTAGAGAGCAGAATACTGAGAGCTACTATACACCTGTAGAAAGTATAACCAGGTCCTCACAGTGATGATATTCTTCCTGGTGCATCTAACAAAAGCACAAAATGTTCTGTGCAGCATTTAATAACAAAAGTAGTGCTTTTTCAAGCATTCATTGTCAAGGATGGGAAGCTTTACTGTGTTTACTTCTTCAATTTGGAAAAATACACAAAGGATTTGACTGTGCAATGCCACACAGTTAGTCTGTGAAATGCAATCAAATCCTAAAAACATACTGCACACGTGTGGCGATGCTTTCCAGGAATAAAAAAAACCCAAACCTGTACAGAACTTTAACTCACATGAAGCAAAACTGCATCCTCGACGACGTCCTAAAAATAGTTATTTCCTTACTTCTTTAGAGTGTTTATTCAAATTTCTAATTTGAATCTAGTGCTACGCTGAGAAAATGTGTTTGAGGACCCCTTCGCCGAGCCTTGCATCAGACACATTCTGCCGATGTCAGGAGTTTGTGGAGAACATGATACAGTTTGGCTGAGTGGGTGTTGGTTTGAATTGCACAAGCCAAGAGGGAGGATGCTGAGGAAAGTAATTTGGTTGTTGGATTATGGATATTGCATGGGTTCAAGTTCTTATTTATTTACTTGCGGCCTGTCTTTGATGTTGATGGCGTGCATTGTGCGGCGGCCTCCTCGGTTTCCGGTAGTTATTGGCAAACCGGGGGAACTTTTGCGTTGCGTGTGATGTGGGCAGAGATGCATGTGCTGTATACGTCCACGCACGTCTCGCGGGAGTTCTTCTACTTTTTTTGTTGCTCTTTGTGCTCTCCCCTTTCCATCTGACCCTCAGCGGCTCCGTCATAAACCACCGGCTCCGCACACACACATCATCACACATGCACACTAGCCTCTAACTCCCTGACCTCAACCCCGAACACCCCCAAAACCTTCGGGGCCGCAGAGGAAAGGTGTTTGAAACAGACACACATCCTGTCTGTGGAAACTACAGTTCGGCACACACACACACACAGACATGGCTAGCGAAACGCACTAGCAACACACCTCCTGTGTCATATTACACCATGAGTTGGGCTTATGGGAGGCTTCTGTGCCGTCAGATCTCAAACAGTGGGAAGGATATAAGTGAGTGTCGAGGGAGCAGGGGTGAGGAGAAGAAGGTGAGGAGGTGAAGAGGGGGGATAAGAAGGATCCAGCAACCTTTCCCTTCTCCCAGGCAAAAGAGAAACTAAAACATGCACACTTGCGGACACACAATGCCACATAGTGCTGCTCTTTCAATGCAAACTGCCATTTTTAAACACAGAAGTAAACCGAAGGGCTGATGGAAAAATCACTTCCAATATGTTTACCCTCGTCGGCGAAGCCAAACAGAAATGAAACCCAGGCAGAGGGGAGAAACATCTTCTTTGTTTATAGGAAATGTGGTCTTAATTTTGAGAAACACTGGCATTAACAATACCACTGGTGTCAGATAAACGCTTTCTGTGGTCTCATTTGTTTACGCTAATCATTCTTCGGTGTCACCATTAATTTAATCACCATTCGTCCGTGTTTATAAATGGTACACATAGCACCTCTAATGCAAAAACATTTACAGTATCTCTTACACCGGTAGTGTGCCGCTCGGCGTCCGCTGGTACCGACACCGGCCCGGACAGCTGATTCAGACGCGCAGCATCATCGGCTGCTCTGCCTTTTGTTTCACGGAGGGATGGAGGATGTGAGTCTGGCCTCTTAGAGATAGACACAAGGCCAATTAGGCACACAGGGATTCATGTATGCACACACACACATGTGCACATATCGTATTCATGGCAGGGTGTTGTGGCAACACGCAAAACCTGGATAAGTGAGTCAGGGTTTGTTGTTTCTCAACTATAATAAATACACTTGACACAGAGACAGACGAGAACAGATTATAGCAGAAGTTTGGATACCCAACCTCGCTGTATTTTCTGTTATTCGCCCTCACACTTGGACCCTCAGGGGAGTTCTCATTGTACCGAAGCGGAAGGGGAAGGTGGGTGGCAAACTGAGGCTGTGAGTGCAGTGCAGCAGCAGGGTAGGTGGTAGGTGGCATTTATACAGCTGTTTTTTTTTTTTTACTGTTGTTTTGAAGACATTTCAGCTCACTTATCCATCAAGGATGCAAATTCCCTACAACCTCTTTTTGTAGGAGAAACATTTTAAAGCAATGATAATAAAAAACCTCTAATTCCCTAGATTGCTGGTGTTACCATCACAAGGGTCACGGCTCCACGGAGCACCAGGTATAGAAATAGGAACTGGGGAGAAAATATGTGTCGTGTGACGGGCAGAGTGACAGATTTGTGATGATGACAGCAGTCGCAGCTCGCTGAGTTCTCTCCAACACGCCCAATGAGCTCATATGTTGTTGACAACGCTTGTGGGACAAGTTCATCGGAAGAATTTGGCTGCGCCGACTTGGAGCCACTACAAAACATTAGCGTTTACCGCCTGTCACCGATGGCCGGACCAACGCAGCCCGCTTGCCAGCTTGACATGCAGCTGTAAACTTGGTAGGGGACCAAAATAAAGGAGGAAGGGAGGGCTTTTCCACTTGTGTCCTCATCACATTTTGATGTTTGTTTTCATGGGACACCCTTAATTAAACATATGTTGCATCTAGTAGCTGCTCATTGGTTCTACTGGGGAACCAATTGGCACATTTGACAAGAGGAAGAGAACTCATTTGTCAGGGTGTGCAGCACGACTTTTTCCCCAAATGTGGAATTTAAGAATCGATTGTGAACCGATACCTTTATCTGACAATCAAAGAGACAAATCTTGAGACGAAGCAATAGCCGCCATCCAATTTCTGCTTCCTCCATCCCTCCCATTGTGCAGTTGGAATCCACCCACCCCCCGATCGTTGCCCTCCCCTCCACACAAACGGTATTTTCTTGTTTAATTTAACAAGAAATGAGTAGTAAATGAAAGCTCAGGCCTCAAATCCCCAACGCGCCCTGTGCTCTGCTCTCCACTCCCCTATGAAAAGGCAATTTGTGAAATTATGTGATAGAGTAATTAGATGGAATTCACCCCCCC